GGGGGTTCTTGTCTGAAGAGTTAAGATAGGAATAATGACTAGAGTTACAGAGTAGGCAGTTGTCAGACCTTTCCCAGAAGCAATGATAATTCCTGTTAGATTATTATTCTAAGAGCAAGGGGTGCCACAGCAACCCTCCTCATAAGAAAAAAACACAAATCCTCTGTACCTTAGATTGCATGGAGCAAGACAGACACTGTAGAAACTGCTGATCCTAGCTAGCATTCTGCAATCCTCTGACCTATCTTGACGTTCTTGGCAGAATCATTCATTCATTCATTCATTCATTCATCCATCCATTTTTAAGTGTGACCTATCACAGTGGATAAAAATCTCAAAGAAAATCAGATGGGTTTTGAAGATCCTTCTTTTTGTTTCCCCAGAAGGAGGATTTCATATGCCTGGTCAATGCATGCAGTTGCTTGGGGAATACACAGGTTTTCCCGAGTCTAGTATTGCCCTGTAGCGGTTGTTAGTAATAGATGGTCTATCAGAGTACACAGCTTTGCTAAGAGGAGAGCACAGAAACTCAGTGATGAAGTGAGAAATTTCAGAGAAGGGTCATAGTCCCTCTAAATCTATGCTCTTCTGAGCCTATCTCTTAATTCATTTAGCTTCATAATAACCTCATGAGATGAGTAAAACAAATATCCTCAAGTTCCTTCCTTTTAGAAAGTTGCACAAAAAGTATATCTGGTAACCTGTTTACTTTCACCATGAACTAGCTCTCTAAGCTTGGGCAAATCTCAGGGCCTAGGACTTGGTGCTAAAAGACACTTTAGAGAGCATGGAGTCCAATCCCCTCATTGTACAAATAAAGAAACTGAGGCCCAGGGAAGGGAAGTAAGTAATCTGACCCTCAGTTACCTCACCTGTGAGATAATGAGTCAATGAGCATTTATTAAGCTCCTGGTATGTACCAGATACTGGGCTAAATGCTGGGGTTACAAAGCAAGGTAATGACTTAGGCAAATACGGACTCTTAGCTCTCAAAGAATTCATCTTTCAGTGGGGTCGGCATGGGGCGAGAGTAGAGACAACAAGGAGATAATTATGTACGTACAAGATATATGCAAGGTAAAAATGGAAGGTAATCTCAGTGCAAAGGGACTAGCAGTGGGGAGGACCTAGAAAAGCCTCTCTCAGGTGGGATCTGAGCAGAATCTTGAAGGAAGCCAGCAGAGTTTAATGATGTTTGTTCTACTCATCTCATGGGGTTATTACAAAGCTAAATGAATTAATAGATAGGCTCAGAAGAACGTGGATTTAGAGCTGGGATGTGATAGCATGCAGTATGGACACTGTAGAAAGTACAAAGGGCCATATGGATGTGTAAGATATTTAGGGATGGCCTTCACCCAATGTGAATAGGAAACCTCTGCAAGCTTATGGAAGCTGGCTGAATCCCAGTTATTAAATAAATAATGAATGAATGAATAGCATTAGGAAGAAAATCCATTACATACAGAAGATTTCTGGTACCTAGCTAATGCTGCAGTTAACTTCAAGAAATGTTTGACAGTAAAATTCCTACACAATTTAAATGGGACAGCCACCCTCAACTCTACTGATGCGATCTGACTCCCACAATGCATTGTATCAAAACCTTCCTAAGAAGCTCCCACTTGCTGAAGTTTTCCTCTCCATAAATTATGTTGTCAAGGTCTGACAGTCTTATCATTTTCCATGTAAGTTTTTAGCGGCTGGCCCCTCTTGAGAACGCTTGGTTTGTCTGCACTTGGTTACGTTAATTTTTTTCAGTCTTTAAAATTGACACATGGACTTCTTTTTATTCTGTTGCTGGGTATTGAGTGTGGCATTTGTGACCACCACAGAGGGTTGCCTGGGCATGCCCTCCATTAGCCGCGCTAAGAGGTTTCTTATTGATTATTTTATACCTAGGCATTTTTTTCTATTTCTACCCCAGTTTTTACTCTTTGCCATGATTCTTATAAAGTGGAAAAACTTACCTATATTGCATCTTCCCTGTGAAATTCTTCCTGATTCGCCCCAGTGACTAGCGCCCCAGTTTACCTCGCATTTATTGTTTGTATGTTTGATGTATACTTATTTTGTATATAAAAGACTTTAAATACAAGTATATGTATTTACATGTATAGACTTAATGAATATATAAGTACTAACATATACATATATAAACTTACATGGAATTTATGTATGTGTGTGTGTGTGTATATATATATATATATATATATATAAAAGCATATATAGATTTTATGTACATATTTTTCCCTGGCATAACGTAATTAATAATAATGATGATGATGGTAGGTAAAATAGATATAGCACTTACTGTGTGCCAGGCACTATGCTTTGCACTTTACAGATATTATCTCATTTGATTCTTGCTATTGTTATCCCCGTTTTTGTGGTTGTTGTGCAGTGGTGTCTGACTCTTTGTGACTCTACCATGGACCACAGCGCACCAGGCCCTTCTATCCTCCACTTTCTCTCAAAGTCTGTCCAAGTTCATGTTTGTTGTTCCCCATTTTACACATTATGAAACTGAGGAAAATAGAGGTTAAGAGCAGGTTTATACAACTAGTAAGTGTATGAGGCTGAATTTGAACCCATGTCTTCCTAACTCTAGGCCTGGCGCTCTATCCACTGCATCATTTAACCTGTCCCCTCATAAAAACTTCTTGAAGACAGGGTCTGCCTCATTATTTTTTGTCTCTCTGTGCTTGGTGCCTAGCACAGTGGTAGGTGCTTAATAAATGATTGTTGATTGATAGGTAAATGATGACTTTTCTTGAGCTATGGAGATGACCTCAACAAAACATGTAAGGGGTGAATCCTTCTGTACTTCAGCTCACAGAGTGAAGCACTGGGCTGGCTGGTTCAGTAGCAACTCTGAGATGGTATTTGCAACTTTAGGAAGGCTTGGGGGAAAGACAGCTGGCTTTATAGACAGGAAGCCCTTGATTCAAATCCCACCTTCAACACTTACTAGTTGTGTGACCCTGCTTGTATTTAATATTTTATTTTCCCCCAGTTACATCTCAAAACAATTTTTAACACTTATTTTTAAAACTTTGAATTCCAAGTTCTCTTCCTTCTTCCCTTCCCAACCCCACTCATTGAAAAGGCAAGCAATTCGATATAGGTTATACATGTGTAATATGTGCATGTAATTTTAACTCCCTGTGCCTCAGTCTCTTCACCTGTAAAAGACATGCCCTCTGAGGTTTTTCTAGTACTCATATATCTGCTTCGACTCAAGTTATACAATATGGTAGAATGGGAAGAGGGCTGGACCTTGAGATCAAGTTGGAACGCCGGTCCTAACACTCCCTGGTTGTGCAGACTTGGGCAAGTCACTACTCATCTGTAAAATGGGCAGAATAATACCTGTAACATCTATGTCTCCGGGCTGTTAGGAGAATCAGATGAGATAATGTAAAGCGTGGTGCACTCTAGGCATGTCAGCTGTTATTATGATCATTACACACACAGAGATGGCTAGAATTCAGTACTCCTCAGCCCCAAAGTGGCTCCCCACAAGTATGTTCTTAAACAAAGATTTCATTCCCTCCACATAGCCAGACACTGGCATGTGTGTGCACATACCCGCTGACTGCAACACAGTATCCCTTTGTTGTGAGCAGCCACGGGAGGAAACCTGTGTTTTTTCAGAATTTGAGAGCTTGAAGCCTAATGGTGCCTGAGACTTTTAAATGGCCTAATTAGAATTTGATGCACGGCTAAGGGGAGTTGGGCTTTCACTGGGATGTCGTTTTAGCTGAGACTCTAAAAAAGTTAGCTTGGAGTGCCTCTAAAGTACTATAGAAATCCAAGGTTGTTGGGTTATTTCTCCGAGCCTCTGTAGCAGTGATGACCCCCTATGGTATTTTACACGGCCCTGCACTCGTTAGACTTAATGCTCCTGATGACCATGCAGACCATTCCTACTACCTGATATTTTTTGTTTGCTGAGCCGCAAAATGCTTTTTTTGCATGCTGGGGCCTGTGCACATAAATTGGGCAGTCGGGTTCCACACCCATGACATGAAACTTTAATCTGGGGGAAGAAAACATTGCAAGCTTCAGGTAGCTTTTTGATGTATTGTTTATGATCTCAGATGTATTTATCATGAGAGGTTGGTGTGGGATCAGAAGGGTTTCTCTGTCATTCAAATACAAACGAGCAAGTTTCTCTTGGGTCTGTGGGCTTTCATATTGCTGGATGTGCAAGTTTTTTTTCTTCTGGTGTTTCTCCGGTGTTGTTCTTTCCTCTGATAACATTTGAAGCAGGTGTGCACTCGATAATTTTTTTTCCTCACTGCAATTTTTCTTTTCAAAATTGACTTTTGGGGACACACATAGAAAGGCGTCTAGAAGGTTACCTTAGTCTGTTTTCTGCGTGGAGAGATTACTTTGATTACAGCATGCCATGGAACAATTACAGGGCCATCTGTGGGTCTTCCCCAGACAGCATTCTCTACCAACATTTTTTTGGTCCATAGTGGAAAAATAGCCAAGTTAGACATAGACTCCATTAGCGTGGTTGTTACATTGCTTTATCAATTTCTTTATACCTCAATTCCCACCCCCACCTCCATTTTCTGTGATAATTTTCAAAAGAATTACATACATAATTGCCTCCCTTTTTGTTCAGTAGAAAGTCTGTTGCCCATATATTTTCCCTGCCAGGAAACCCTTTTCTTTATCTGTAGAGTTATTTAAACTGATTGTTTAAACTGTTTAGGTAATTTTAACTCCCCGTGCCTTAATATTTTGTTTTTCCCCAGTTACATGTCAAAACAATTTTTAACATTTGACAAACTATTTAGGTTCTTTAGAAAGAGGAATTTATTAATTGGGTGAATCTGACGGATCTTGCATCTTTATTGATTCTTGTATAGATATGTGCCTATATCACTAGATATAATACATGCACATCCAAGCTATCCTTCATACAAATTCTAATAATTATGCTAGAATTAACAACTAGGTATTATCTTTCCTCTTAAAAACAGGAATTTTCAGAACCAACGATAGTTCTTTTTGAAAGAGAAGACTTCAAAGGAAAAAAAATTGAACTTAACGAAGAAGTGGTAAACCTTCGGTCCCTGGGATTTAATACTCAAATACGCTCCATCCAGGTTATTGGCGGCATGTAAGCTAATTATTTATTCTATTTTTTAAGTTACAAAAAAGTGTCACATTGAGAAGCCACCACTCTGTGTACTCTTATGAATTTCTGTTCCGTTACCTTGGCCAATGTACAAGTGCATCTTGCATGAAGTCAAGTTTTATGCAGTTTAAAAAAAAAATCTCACCAAATCAAGCGCATGTTATGGTTTATCTGTAGTCATCATGAGTTTCCCATACCAATGAAATCATGTGTCTGGGCTGCCAAAAAAAATCCCCAAAAAACAAGTATATACTTGGTGAGTCTTATGAATCATAATGTTGCTTTGATTTCCTTTCATGACTAAAAATGAATACTTAAGTTAGGAAGTGCCTCTTAGGTCTAACACATTAACAGCTGTTCAATGCTAGCCATTCATTCATTCATCCAAAGCCTAACTCTACTGTGTTAGTTGTTGGAAGAAATGCAAAGTTTAGGTAAAAGTCAGCTACTTGTGCTAGGCACTGGGGATGTAAGGACAAAAAGGAGGTTCTTGCCCTGAAGAAACTTAGATTCTGCTAGAGAAGCTTGATGGGTCCCTCTAGCCTTTAGGTGACTCTTACTTCTCAGTGGAAAAAATAATGAAAGCATTTTATTTTTTTTAATATACTAGAAATTATATGGTATTTAAGCAAAATTACTTGTGATATACTATATCATGTACACGTTTTTGCAAAATATAGAAACATTTTGTCTGTGATTTAACCACTTGTATACCCTTCCCCTCTAATTCTCCCCCTCCTCCCCAGCTCTCCATCTAGGACTTAGGTGACTCTTACTTCTCAGTGGAAAAAATAATGAAAGTATTTTATTTTTCAAAAAAATGCATTAGAAATTATGTAGTGTTGCCTTTAGGCATTATTACTTCTAAAATACTGTATCATGTGTATGTATTTTATACATATCATATTTCTGTATTTTACAAAATACAGAAACTTTTGTTGCTGTGATTGAACTATTTGTATACCCTCTCCTCTACCCCTATCTTTTCCTGGGTAGGAGAAAACCAGGATTATGATGTTAGGATTCCCAACCCATAGTTTCACAGTTAGAAGAATGATGTAAGTTTTTGGAGGGTGGAGTGGACAAGAGGAACCTTCTGATATCCACTTTTGCCTTCTGGAGTGTGCCTTGATTGAGAAAAGTATCACTGGGTACACTACAAGCTTCAGCCTTTCTTCCACGATTTGAAGCAGAGACTATGACTTTAAGCAAAAAGGTTCTGATTTGTGAGTGATTCTGTGAGCTCTCTCTCGTATTTCACTGACTATACAGAGTAGGAATGGCTCACAGGGCTAGATGGACTATTTCACTAAAAGAGTACATGAGTTTTATTGTCTACTTCCCCTTTTGTAAGGGAAAGGCTGGTGTGTTTTTTCCTTAGAAAAGTATCCTTTAGGGGCAGCTAGGTGGTGCAGTGGACAGAGCTTTGGCCCTGGAGTCAGGAGGACCTGAGTTCAAATCCAATCTCAAACACTTCCTAGCTGTGTGACCCTGGGCAAGTCACTTAACCTCGATTGCCTCACCAAAAAGCAAAAACAAACCAAAAAAAAAAACCCAAAAAAACAAAAAACCCCAAACAAACAGAAAAGTATCCTTTAGTTTATTGCTTATAGTATAAATACTTTTCAAGGCAGCATTTTAGACTGTTTAAGAAGACAAGGAAGTGAGATAGGATTTTGGTCTTATCTATAATTTGGAAGGATTATTCTAGAAAGTTTTCAGATTCCAACAATGAATGTAATTTGTGTTTCTTTTGATGTGAGCATTGTCACTGATTGTAGGTTACCTTTTTAATTTTTTTTAGATGGGTCACTTATGAATACAGCAATTATAGGGGACGGCAGATCTTGCTGTCACCTGCAGATGTACCTAATTGGTATGAATTCAGTGGCTGCCGTCAGATAGGTTCTCTCAGACCTTTTTTTCAGGTATGGTTTTTCTTTTTCTTTTTCTAGTGTTTTCCATGAGCAGTTCTCAAGGCTGCGTTTTAACCATGATTGCATACTCTCCCTTCCACCCCTGTCTTTTCCTGGCATTCCTTTGACTTCAGAATGTTATCCCCAGCTAAAAAGTTTGAAATTGGCTTGAGTCACTTTACATTTTGTCCCCTTTCCTGGCTGAGTTGAGGGCTACTCTTAAAAGTGCTGATGTATCTAGCCTTAGAACATGGACTGTTCCCAATGCTCCACCTATTAACAGGCAGGCATGTTCCCTGCCCCATGGCACTTCTTTCAGAATTGCATCTTGTTTCCCTCATTGAAAGAACCCAGGACTCTCTGAGACATGGCGGCATCCTAATTCTCCCTACCTCTCCCTCCACATCTATCAGGCTCCTGCAAACTGTGGGGCTAATCGGTACTATTCCCAATAATGCTTCATTGTTGGTGGTTTCTGTTTTCCCAGAAACGGATCTACTTTAGGCTTCGAAATAAAGCCACAGGTTTATTCATGTCAACCAATGGAAACCTAGAGGATCTGAAGCTTCTCAGGATACAAGTGATGGAGGATGTGGGAGCGGACGATCAGATATGGATTTACCAAGAAGGGTGCATCAAATGCAGGGTGAGCCCTTGGGACAATGAGACTCTGTTGCCTTTTCCCTCTAATATACTTCTGCTCCCTCCAAAGGGCGTTTTGTCTGAAACAGCCTATTATATAAGAAGGATTCCTTTGCTCTGGGACAGTGCCCTCCCTTTTTCACTTCCTGAACTAGTTTCATATAATATCAACTCTGTACATTTGCATCATTTTCATTATGGTTTTTTTCCCCTTTCTGTTACATGGCAACAGAAAAAGGAAGTGTTCGTATTTGCACAAGCCTCTTCTTAACCTACTTTGTGCTGTCATTAGTGATGAACAGAAGGAGCTAATAAATACAGATCAGCATTTTTGTTTCCCAACTGTAGCTTTTACAGTCAAACAGATAGTGTAGTTGAGATGTGAGGCTACAAGTTATTAAAAGGTGCTGCAAGGAACTCAGCAAAATCCCCTTCCTGGTTTTTGATCTCACTGGGTTATAAAAAACATTCACCTTGTTTCTCCTGGAGAGGGAGAAGGAGAAAGAACTCCTACCCCCTATCTCTGTTACTGTTCAGTTATTTCAGTTGTGTCTGACTCTTCATGGTCCCATTTGGGGTTTTCTTGGTAAAGATACTGTAATGATTTGCCATTTCCTTCTCCAGCTCATTTTACAGATGAGGAAACTGAGGCAATTAGGGTGAAGTGACTTTCTCAGGGTCATACAGTTAGTACGTATCTGAGGCCATTGAACTCAGGGAGAGGAGTCTTCTTGACTCCAGGACTGGGGTACTCCCTAGCTGCCCCACTCCCACCTCTACGCCCCCAGGCTAACACCCTTTATGACTGTATCTGAACAAGATTGTAAAAATAGGAAAGCTCATTCACATTTGTCATTTAAAATTGTAAATGCTTCAGTTTCAGCCAGTGACTGAGCTTAAATGAAAGAAAATGTCAAGAGTCATGAAATCAGCCAAAGATACCCACAGCCTTCTGCAAATGACTCTGAGAAGGAGAGGATCTCATGTCTTAATTTCAGCTATTATGCTTGAAGGGAAAAAGCCTTCCTTTTTATAAACAGAAGGTACTGTTTGGGCATGCTAGGAAGAGATGCTCTGAGAAAAGGGATTAACAAAGAGATGAGAGCCAAAAAGGAGGCCAAGGGATTAACAAAGAGATGAGAGCCAAAAAGGAGGCCAACGTTATGTTAAGCTAGACAAGGGAACTGTGTGCTTCACAGGAATATTGCTCCGGGCCATTTTGGCAAAGATATGGAACAGCCTTGAATTCAGTCAATAATATTTAGGTTGACTGAGAACATTTCAGCAAAGCAAAAATAACTTTATCATTAAACCCATTCTTCACTTCAGCTTCCATTGAGGAGAATATGTTTGTATTTCATTTTCAAGCCTTTTGGTTTAAACCAGGGGTGGGGAACCTGCAGTCTTGAGGCCACATGTGGCAGTCTTGAGGCCACATGTGACACTCTAGGTCCTCAAGTGCTACCTTCACGTTTGGACTCAGTCAAAGGGCCTGGAGACCGCAGGTTCCCCACCACTGAGTCCAGTGGCGTGATTTTTCTATGGCTTAGGAGAGGCCAAGCCCTAAAGAGTTGCTGTGCTTAAAAAATTCATCCTATGGTGGCCTACTGGTGAAGGACCTACTGAACATAGGTGGGCTGGTCCTTAACAGACAGAAAACATGCACATTGTCACTGGTTCCATAACATGGAGCATTTCAGGCTTTGTAGAACTTAGCAAAGTTTGTATTGGATCAGAATGACCCTCGAGAACCTGGGCTCATCTCTAGACCAGAGCTGGGTATCAGAGCAGGACTTCAGTAGAGGAACCATACAGCCTGGAAACAGAGGCTACAGAACTCTATGTGTCACTGTAAAAAGAGTATGTGGCATCGTCATAAAGCTTTTATTAGAATGAGTTTAGAATAACAGCTCTTGGGAGTATCTGTGAATAACGCATTTGGCGCAGACACAGTCCAATAAAATCATTGTCTTGTATCACCGCAGAGGTAGTTTGCCTTTTTTTTAGTGGGCTTCTCTTAGAACTCTCTATTGGAGGAAGAGCAGAGACACTAATAACCATATTTTAAACTTTTTCAATGGTGTAATAGTTTATTAGCTAGTCTACTATTAAAATTAGAAAGACTAATGTAATGGTGGAATCATTAACATTTTATTCTCTTGGGTAAGGTGAGCGAATTGACTAGCAGAGGGTGGAGGTTTCATCTTGAAGATTCTTTCTTTCCCTTCATAACTAATAAAGTGAAGAGGTCTACTAAGCTCTTTCTAGTGGATGACAGGCTAAGGAATGATGATAACAATGCTAGTATTTTCATAGTGCTTTTAACATTTTCAAAATGCTTTACAAAAAAAATCTCATTCTGTCCTCACAACAACCCTTGGAGGTAGATGCTATTATTGTCTCCATTTTACAGATGAGGAAACTGAGGCAGGCACAGGTTAAGTGACTTGCCCAGGGTCACCCAGCTAGGAGTAAGTATCTGGGGTAGGATTTGAACTCATTTTCCTGATTCCAAGACTAGCACTCTTTCCACTGCACCAGCTAGTTGTCTGAATTGTTAAGAACTAAGTCATAGTGGGTTTTATTTTTCCTTTGAACAGATCGCAGAGGATTGCTGCTTGACCATTGTTGGAAGTCTTGTAACCTCGGGTTCCAAACTGGGCCTGGCGCTGGACCAGAATGAAGACAGTCAGTTCTGGAGTATTAAGTCTGATGGCCGAATCTATAGCAAGTTGAAGCCAAACTTAGTTTTAGATATCAAAGGTAAAGATTTTATTTTTCTTTCATGGAATTATGATTTTAATGATGCCTTTTCCTTAGTGTTAGAAAACGTAAGTGAGCCTATGAGAGGCAGTATGACATTATGATGGGAAGTCACAGATTTCTAATATCATCTTACATTTCCACCTTAGGAGTCAACAAGTCCAAACTCCCCTTCCCCCCCTCCCCCTGCATTTTACAGATCAGGAAACTGAGGCCCAGAGCATTGTAAAGTAACTTGCCTAAGGTCATAACAGCTAGTAATATCTGAGGTAGGATCTGAACCCAGGTCTCTCTGACTCCAAGCCCAGTGCTTGTTCCACTATATCTTGTATTTTAAGGTTTACAAAGCACTTTTCTCACAGTAGTTCTGTAAGTAGCACCAATATTATCATTTTACAAATGAGGAAACTGAGGTTCAGAGAGGTCCTCCTAACTCTAAATCCCAACCCTATGTTCTTTTGACTCTACCCCTCCTCTACCAAGCCAAACTTACCTTCTATTTACTTCATATAGGCTACTGTGCGTATACATTGTCTCTTATAGAATGTAAGCTCTTTGAGGGCAAGGCTATTTTGTTTCTACCACCTAGCACACAGTAGGTATTTACTAAATGTTTGTTCCCTTCCCTCCTCCCCTACCAACCAAAATTATCTTATATTTACTTCTGTGTGTGCTCTTTATTTTCAAGCATGTGGAGGAGAAAACTATTTTTTTAAATACGTGGTGGTGGTGTTCAGTTGTTTTCAGCTATATCTGACTTTTCATGACCCCATTGGGGGTTTTCTTGGCAAAGATACTGGAATGGTTTGCCATTCCTTCTCCAGTCCATTTTACAGATGAGGAAATGGAGCCAATCAGGGTGCCCAGGGTCACACAGCTAATAAATGTCTGAGGCCAGATTTGAACTCAGGAAAATCAATCTTCCTGACTCCAAACCCAATGCTGTATCCACTGTACCACCTAGCTGCCTTAAAATAGGTACTCAATCCTTTTATAATCCTATTCTTTTTTTCTTTTTATTAGGCAGTGGTGTTAAGTGACTTGCTTAGGGTCACACAGCTAGTGTTATGTGTCTGAGGCCAGATTTGAACTCAGGTCCTCCTGAATCCAGGGCTGGTGCTCTATCCACTGTGCCACCTTGCTGCCCCTACAATCCTATTCTTTTACATCTTCTTCTTCATTCAACAAGCATTTTTTTTTAAGTTTTTACTACTGTACCAGATACTGACAGAAGAGGTAGATGTAAAATAAGGTAACCTCTGCCTTTAAGGATCTTAACATTTCATACAGGGAAAGAATGATAGCTTGATCATAAATTTACAGCTGGAAGAGGTCTTAGAGGTTATCTAATTGGACCATCCCATTTTACAGGTGAGGAAATCGAGGGCCAGAGGGATCAAGTGATTTGTATACAACTAAGTTTGGAGCTGGGATTTGAATCCTGGTCCTCTAACCTCAAATCTAGCACTTTTCCACTATACCTTACTAAATATAGTAGATGAAGAGAATGCAAATAAGAATATGATAAGAGCATAAGAGAAGAATAATTGGTATGCCATCAGATGGAGGAGAATCATTTCCAGTTGGAGGCCACAGAAGGCCAGAAGGAAGGCTTAGGGTATCTGTATTCAACATGATTGGATAATGGGCATCCAATCTGCAGTGAATGTACACACATTTTTCTTGATTATGGTTTAATTTCTTAAAAGATTTCAAGGTTGTTATCACATTTGATTTCTGATTTTAAATCTTATTATGATTTCTCTTGCCTGTCTTATTATTTTAAAATTAGCATATCCATCATAAGTATATGCAACAAGGCAAAGGCGGTCTTGGCTCCTTAATACAAATGTTACTCTGTCCCTCCTCTACTTCATTTTTAAAATTTCTTTTGTTTAAGATGTGCCATGCAGTTGTGTCATTTTTTTCCATTAAAAGAAATGGAAATAAAACAGATATGTTCATCTCAGCATTTGGTTTCACAGACCAAATTAATCTTGTGGGGGAAATCAGTAATATTTCAGGGCAAGTTAAAGAGACAGTATAGACAGAAATGTTTAAAAGACTAGCAAACGACATATGAAAGATGTCATTATCCTTGGGCAATTCAATTCTTTATGGTCCCTCTCTTCCTCTCCTCAAAAAAAAAAAAGATTGGTATAGCATGTGTATGGAAAATAAATTGATCTCAGTCAATGAGATGGACAGAATACTCCTTTATTCATGCAATTTAGGGTAATCTGAGTTTAAATTATTAATGGGCACTTTTCTATTTCACACTAAACAAATGGACTAGAGTATATTTTGTAAATTTAATGAAGCCTTGATAATACAAAGCCTTACTTCACCAGTGCCCCTTATTTTTATTATTTTTAGATGAGTGCTATAGAACAGGCTTAGGTCCTTAACAGAGTAAATATGGATTTTACTTTAAAAAAAAATCTATCCATCATCAAAACAGAATTCTTTTTTTTTTTTTAAAACCACGCCTTTTTAAAGGACAAAACGTAAAATCTTAGGACAACACATTTCTGACATATTCCTCAGACTTTAGCAAAGGCTCGGAGAATTATCCTTTGTCAACTGAGATATTTATAAAGTGCTTATCACAGTGCCTGACACATAGTAGGCACTTACCAAATGCTTGTTCCCTTCGCTCCCTATCTTCTCCCCTCCTGGCCAAAATTACCTTATATTTACTTTGTATAGATTACTGTGTATACACATTGTCTCTGACAGAATGTAAGAGCCTTGTGGACAGGACTATTTTGCTTCTACCACTTGACATGTAGCAGTTAATAAATGCTTGTTTCCTTTTCCTCTCTCCTACCAAACCAAATTACTTTATATTTACTTAATATAGACTTCTGTGTGTACATAATATTGTCCTTGATAGAATATAAGCTCCTCGAGGGCAGAACTATTTCATTTTGGTTTTGTACTCCAATGCCTGATATAAAGTAGGTGCTTATTGATTGATCTCTATCAGATGCCATTTATTAGGTGTTTAAAGGATTTGAATTCAAAAAAGACCTTAATTTGTTGGAAATATGGTGAAAGACAAAAAGAGTAGCATTTAAGAGGTAATATATTTAGGATAAAACAAATGTGCTACATATATATATATATATATATATATATATATATATATATATATAATTTGTGGGCTCAACCAAAATCATGTAGTTGTGAAGATAGCATCAGATGAGATGCGTAAAAAAGGAGCACAGTATTGACAATGCATGGTGGATTCCTCTCTTTTTACACCAAATGACTACGGTGAATTTGGGTTCCACAATATATTATTAGTAAGGAGACTGGGTATAAATTTTAGCTGTGGTGCTGGATAGCTAAGTGACCCCTGAGGAAATCACTGAAGGAGTATGAGCCTCCATTTTCTGATCAATCAACAGGTATTTATTAAGCAGTCAGTAGACTAACAATTGTTAAGTACCTGCTTTGATGGCACTGGTGATACAAAACCCAAAAAGAAACCATTCCTGACCTCAAAGAGCTTACAGATATATATAAGTATGCAAAAATGCAAGGTAGTTGGGAGAGGAGGGAAATGTTCATAGCTAGGAAGTTCAGGAAAGGCTCCATGTGGAAGATGGCCTTTGAACTGAGTTTTGAAGGAAACAAAAGAGGCAGAGGTGAGGAGAAGGGTACACAGTATGGAGACAGCCAGGGAAAGGGATGGAAAGAGGACATCAGATATCACAGATGAGGAACAGATAGAAGGCCAGTTTGACTAGAATACAAAGTGGGTGAAGGGGAGTAATGTCTAAGGCAGGTTGGAGCCAGCTTTTCAAGAGTTAATTTCTATTTGATCCTAAAGGCAATTGAAAGCAATTGGAGTTTCTTGAATAGGGAAGTGACGTGGTGAGACATAGGCTTTAGGAAAATCATTTTAGCAGCTGTGTAAAGGAAGATTGGAGTGGGCTAACACTTGAAGCAGAGACCAATTGGTAGGCTATTAGAATAATCCAGGCAAGAGGTGATAAAGGCATGAAGTAGTGGGGTAGCCAATGGAACAGCAATGAGAAATGTGAAGTCATAAATGACAAGATGAGGTGACTAATTGGTTATATGTGGAAGAAAGAGTGAGGCTTCAAGGATGACACTGAAGTTATGAGCCTGTTTGGTTGGCTGGAAGGATGGTGGTACCATTAACAGAAATCAAGAAATTTGGAAGAGAGGTGAGTTTAGTAGGGAACTTCTTACTAATTTTTCTCTTGGACATATTGCTTTAGAGGTGCCTACAAGACATCCAGTTTGAAATGTCCAGCAAGTAATCATAGATGCATGGCTGGAGATTGGAAGAGTCTAGAACTGGATATATGGATCTGTGGGTCATCTAATAGAGATAATTAAACCCACAATGATGAAGAGATCAAAAGGGAAGAGGACTGAGAACAGAATCTTGGAGGGTACATCTATAGTTAGGGGTTAGAGAAATGAGGATAGTTAGCTCAGGTAGATCAGACCAAAGAGAAGCTTAATAAATGTTTTCAAGTCAGATAATGGGATAATGGAGTCATTTTCAAAGATTGAATTTTGGACTTGGAAGTCAGGAAGACCCAAATTTGAATCTAGCCTCAGAATATAATAGCTGTGTGACCCTGGGCAAATGACCTCTCTTAGCCTCAGTTTCTTTGTAAATAAAATGGGGATAATAGCATTAACCTCACAGGATTGTGAGGATCAGAGATGACATGTAAAACACTTTGTAAGGGCTAAGGAGCGCAGTGGATAGAGCACCGGCCCTGGATTCAGGAGGACCCGAGTTCAAATGCAGCCTCAGACACATAACACTAGCTGCTTGACTCTGGGCAAGTCACTTAACCCCAATTACCTCACCCAAAAAACAAAACAGAACAAACCAACCCACTTTGTAAACCTCAAAGCAATATAAAAAATGCTAGGTATTGTTATTACTATTGTTGTTATTGTTGTTTTTATCATTGGAATCAGCAAGTTTGACATAATCCTAAACTAGC